GGCCTTTAGTTGTTATTGTAGACGTCCTACCTTGTAGTAGACGCCATTGAGGTTGGCGTAGAAACACTGGTGGAACCACCAACCGGAGTGGCTGATCTCGGCACAGATGTTTCCCGTGTCTGGAGTGCTGAAGCCCTGCTGGTCGTGGTACCAACCGAACGAATCCTCCACCGTTCCACTGAAACCAGACACATGGAGGCGGTACTGGTTCTCCTCATCCTCTATTCTGCAGAAGGAGTAGGAGGAACTATAATCTCCATAAAAATGGTATTGGTAGTGATTTGTCAGTCACAAGGTAGCCACGCCCTAAAGCATACCCTGTTTTATCGGGGCCAAATGAGACCATCATTTACTAAATGAACATCATGTTGTATGAAAGAAGACTGAAACTAGAGATTGCAACCATAAACTCATTAGGAAACTGTTTACTGAGCTCATAAATGAAGTGACAAGTCGACTCATTCTCCATTAGAGTGAATGGTATCAGTGTGATATTGCAGCCAATGGAACTCCTCTGCTTTAATTTATATAAAATGCAGGTTTTAAGACTTTTAAGCAGTTCTGCCCTTTTTGGTATTATACAAAAGTGTTATTAGCTCAGCTCCCACTGGTTCCCATATAATTTAAACCTAAGACTCCGTAAAGTTGCAGTCGGGTGATAATTACCTGTGGTGCAAGGTAAGTGACTCTGTAGAAAACATGTAGCCAAAGATCAGTAGATAGGGCAATTCACTACCCACTTGTCAGCAGTAAATGTCAGGCTTCATGTAATGTTAGGTTAACATTGCTCTATTTAGGGAAGAAAACTGGTGCTATGCTGAATTGAAATAGAAAGTTCTATACCTTCACTGCTAACCTATATCTCCATAATACAATACAACTCAAGGTGGCTCACTACCAGCTGATGAAGTACAACGCAGTCAGAGCTTTCGTCCAGAGGAGAGAGTACCTGATCTGGCCAGAGGACCCTCAGGACTATGGGTGGTTTTATGAGCGCCTTGTCGCACAGATACTCAAAGACAATAAGGTGAAAAAGTTTGCGGAGGACGAACCTGAGCCTGCCCAGCCTGACGCTCCACCTCAGAATGAGGACGGTATCCAGCTTGAGAGGATTAGAGCAATTGCCATGTGATCTCTGACTGTATGTTAAAGAAGGTCTACTTTAACCAAGATATACTGTTAATACTGACTTTCCAAAATGTCACCAGTAAGTTAGTATTCAGGATGAGGAAGAAATTTTACCTTAAAAGTGCCTTTTTGATTTACATTTTTTCAAGTCAAAAAAGGAAAAAAGAGGAACCTTCAGAGGAAGTAAGTATACAAAAAACTGCAGAATCAGACCCAGAGCCTGCTGATTCTGCTCTGCTGTAGACCATCTTAAAAAGGTTTTGTGTTTTAATATCTTGCAGTGTGTTTAGCTGATTTGGGCTCACTCACAAGTCTTCAAGTAAAGCCACTTGGTCGGTGGCCCTCCACTTCAAAATATGACACCGTAGGCATCCCTGTAGCATCATTTCTGGACGTGCCCACCATCAAAGTTCAGTGATGTTGATTAAAGAGCGCAAGTCTGCATATGGAGGTGGTGGGGTGGATGGGTGGGTCGCTCCAAACTAACACACCTTTAACCCAGGAGACCGCTGTTTGTGTCCCATGTGAGACTAAAAGTAAATAATTTCTTCTAAGTAACATACATAAGTTAAGTTACGTAACATTCTTAAGTAACTTCAGGTACGTTACGTAACTTATGACCGTGGAGCCCTGCGCATCCAGAAATGACACAAGAGCGGTACCTACAGCATCGGTACTTCTGTTTTGTCTTTTGTTATTATCAGTGTTTATAGCACTCCATGACCCAATGATATGTACAGTACAAACAAGTGATTGGTATTATGTTATTGGAATAAATGAAATGTAATGTTTAAGGTGCAGTGTGTAACATTTAGGAGGATCTATTGTCCGAAATGGAATATAATATTCATAGCTATGTTTTTATTAGAGTATAATCAGCTGGATATAGGAATTGTTATGAAAGACCGAGACATAACAACCAGATTTTTACTAAATCCTACACACTGGTCCTTTAACTAAGTGTAATGTGTCTGATGAATCAAGTGTACTAACAGTGTTTGGTAGGCATTTGCTAGTTGGCTGTTCTCACTAATATCTATTGTTGATGCAAACACAGCACTGTTCACCCTAATAGCTTACAGGATGAGGCACAGCATTGAAATTTAGTCTGTTTTTTTAATCACTGTTGGTGTTGTATAACTGCAGCTCCAGAAGTGTGTGTCCAGTGGTAAGTCAGTGTGTGAAGAGCTGCTGTGGATCTGTAGTATATACCAGCATATCAATTTGTATGGAAAAAGACAAACTTATACCTCAAAATAATTCTTTCAAATTGTCAAAACAGTTAAAAACTCAAAGGTATTATATTTGTAATGACATGAAACAGAAAAACAGCAAGCTCCTGTATGATAATGACCGATGAGTGATGATCAAATTGACTTTCAAAATTGTCCTGTATTGCAAAAATTAAAATAAACTCTAAACCGTTTAAGAGAAAAGAATATATTTTTTATGGTTTTAGGAATGTAAATGATAATTATATTTGAATGGTTGAATCAGAGTCCATTCAATTGGATTGTAAACCTCAGTTTGAATGATTGTATTCTTCAGAATTGCATTTGCCTCAGATCTTGTAAAAAAGTACAGAAATGGAACCCAAAAAAGTTTAATTTGCTATCTTCACCACTAGATGGCAAGTGTTAGCTGTTTTTACTGGCTCTCCTCAGTCTCAAGTGATCGGTGAAAACCAGTGCGTTAATTAGTGAGAGTGATCACCACATCAAGACTGTTTATAATTGCACTGGGTGTGTCACATTCAACAAGGATTCCTTTTAATGACACTATTGCATTATAACAGCCACTGCAAATGATACCATCTCTCTAAGAACTTGGGTTTTGTTGGACTGTAAGATGAGAGTGAATCTGAGGTCAGCCGGTTTCCTTTCGTTTGAGACGTGTGTCTGAAAACAGGAAGCCACTGGGCAGAGGAAAGCTTCCGTCCTGTTGGCCCCGGCCGCCTGCATCCTCCCAGCCTTTATGAGCCAGCTGTTCTGAACATTACAGCCCGTCTGCAGGCTCCTGCTGCTTATACACTGTGGACAGTCCATTAATCTGAACACAGGGCAGCATTAACATCTGTCCGCTCTGCTTTTATTGTGCAGTTGTTTATACTTTCTGGTATTTTTACCAGTGTTGGACTTTTCTTGTTAAATGCTGTTAGTACCCCCAAAATGCGGTGGGTATTATTTGGATGTACATAGGTGTACCTGCTATGTGAAGGCCCAGGAAGCCTTTTGTGTTCTTGACTGAGCGGTGAGGTTGATATGTACGGAGTCCTAAAAGTGACAAAATGCATCAAACGACTCAAAACTGAAAACGAATGCATCAATAAATAATACTTTGGGGTTAATCATTAAAATGAAAAAGTGTAAACACTGTCACTCTTCTTTTTATCGTTCTCTAGTTGTTATTCTTCTGATTGTCCTATTTTTGGTCTTGGTACACACAGTTCTTCTTCTTCCCCAAACAACATTTCCTGTTTTGCTTACCACATTTCAAATTTTGGCCATGCTTATGTGATAATGAGACAAACATAAAAACACTGAAAAATAATGGTGGGCCCAAAGCAAACACATATTGTGCAGATGTTATGAAGATAATAATATGGTGTCTGTGAACTTCTAATTAGCGTTATCGTTAGCTAGCTAGCTTTATTAGCATTTTCGCGCTAAAATGCAATTAGCTACTGTTAAAATATTTTTTTTTGTGAGAGTTTTAACATGCACGCTCGTATCCTGGTTGTGAGTCCTTCTCACCATCTCAGTCACTGTGTTCTGTACCAACAAAGAACAACAGGCCACGCTATCCCCGTTTCTTTCGGTGTACTAGCATATCGTTTCTTAAAATTGGGATAAGGCCTCATCCAAATTACTGATATGGTGTTTTTATGGACAACAGGTAAACAGAATAGTCCAGAAACCTGATCATAACCAGGATACTAGTGTGTATGCAAACACACACAGTCAAAAAGGCTGCTGTTGTTTTATGATAAACTGGCATTTCTCATTTCAAGACACACACACACACACACACACACGTTAACTTATTGGTAGTTAAGAAAAATAAAAAGTTCTTCCCTTTTTTCATTTACGTGTTTTCCTTTTTTCTACACTTCAGTTTAATTGTTTGACATTACTATTTACTGGTTTATTTATTGATATTTTTGACTTGTTTATGTCTCATTTGGGGCTCCGGGCTCCACGGATAAAAAGATTAGTGAAAAAGAAAACCTTCTTCTCTTCCACTGATCATACAAGAAAGAAGGGAAACCTGTCTAACTTCTATAAATCTGAACCAGTCCAGCGGCTCCACCAAAATCTAATTTGAAAAGTGGAAGCAAATGTTTGCCTTGTAAACAAGCTCTCCAGCTCCGCGGCCTCTTCACAGTTATTTCAGGCCTGCAGAATATACTTAGAACAGACACACATGCTTCTGAGATTCTCCCTCGCAGGGAAATGTAATAAACCCTGCCCCATGGCCATAGCTAATATTTGACCTCTGTTTAAGCAAATATAATTACAGGGATGCTCACGCAAGCCTGAGGAGGGATCCTCTGAGGTAAGTGGACTCATCTTCACTGCAGTGATTGAGAGGAGGAGAATAAAGGCAGCCATGGGGGATCTGAGGCTGAGGGGAACACAAACTGATCTCTGTGAGCCAAAATAAGATCTTTCCTTCAACACAGAAGCATCAAGCGAGCCCACTGTGGGTGGTTTGCTTACGTAATGTGTTTTATAGAGCTTGTTTGTTTGTGGAAGTTTGTTCTGGGGTTAAGGGGCGTGACAGGGATGAGAGGAAAGAACCAGCAAAAGCATAGTGGTACTTTTCCTCCCTTCTCTCTGGCACCATCAGCCTGCCTGGAGTGAAATGTTTTCAGGCGAGAGGAGCATCATCCATCCATTTTCCAACTGCGCTTCTGAGCCAAGGCTGTGGTGGAAACCCGCATTTCATGTTGAAACTAATGCCTTGTGATGAGTTAATCATGTTTCCACAGAAACATGAAACCACATTGGGAGACGTGTTTGGGACGCAAAATAAAACACTAAATTTGAGATGTCAAAGCGGCCCTTGAAGACAGTGAGAAAAAGATTGGCTCTGAACTTCCTCATCAAAAGAAAATGTTAGATCTGTGGATTATCATCCAAAGTGTGAATAAAACCATTGTGGAGCCATAAGGAGATGACTAACTTTAGCTTTGTGCTTCAGCATGAACTCCACTGTCCACCCAAAACAAGGCTCGAACCCACTGTGGAACTTACTGTTAACTGACAGCAGACCAGCCTCTACATTCCACACTGGAGGGAAGACAGGCAGCAGAAAGACGATCGGAGAGGATGACTGCTTCTTTTCCCAGCTGACCTCTGGGGAAACAGGTGTTTTCTGCACTTGGTTGGAATGGATTTAGTATAGCAGAAAGAAAGAGGGAGAGAGTGAGGTTGAAAGGGTCATAAAAAGAAAGCGGGATAAAAAAGGAAGGATATTATGTCTACATCTGTCACCTGTTTATACAGACAGCTCAATAAGTAACAGTGGAGCTTCAAAATTGAGGACTGCTCATACTGGGCAACAAATGATTTTTGGCCACAGTCTGAATTTGTTGGCACACAATTATTTATTACACATCCAGCATATAGTAGCTTTTATTTGTTGTGTCTAGACACCGTGAAAGATGAGTAATAGGTCTATATCTCAGCATTCTGTTCTTCTCTGCGAAGAAAACTAAATGAAATAGTTATTTTTAATGTTTACATTATTATTTAAGATCTACACTTTGAAGACCTGAACTCAAGCTATATTCCCATAAACAGCCTCGTCCTGCATTAGAAAAGCACGCAGTTAAAACAACCAAAGAGCCAAAAGGACAATGGTCAAGTGTCCGGGAGAAGAAAACACTTAAACCTAGAAACCTATTAAAGCACAGTAGGTAACCTTTATGAAAATAACTTTTGTCATGTTTGCTGAAATTAGCTCCTAATGGCATTTGCAAGAACCAATCAGAGCAAAGAAAAAGAAAAAGACACTTTGGGTTGGTTAGGAACACCAGGAGGAGCCAGAGGAACCTGATTGTTTCACAGATGATCTGTCTCATGTACTACTGTTAGGATATAGTGAGGGTTTAAATACTTTTTAATAAAAGTTACCTACTGCAGCTTTAATGACTGTTGTATGTTGTTGTAAGCTGTATGATTGTATGATTGTTTAAAAAAGACAGAATTGTAAATTCCTAAAAATACCAGAAAAACTCCCTGTGTTCACTGTTTGGGGTTTTGTACAGTTTATCAGTTACTCTGTACTGTTATTGTTATGCATTGAATATAATATGAAATTTCTATAAAATATCTTAAGGAAAAAGGCTGGAACCACTGATATAAAGCTAAAGAGCTGAAGGGTTATTGTAAACATATTGATTATAGCTGCTTTAACGCTGTGAAAATGTCCTCCGTGCTCCTCTAATATTCCCACAGTTGGGAGTAAGCTTTCAAAGAGAAAACAGTCAGCAGCTTTTGTTCCAGTGCTGCCCTGGAAAAATTACAAAAGAGTAACTCATTCAAAATATATATTTGTTAGACAAGCTAAACCACTGCTGCTGGCAGCTGGGTTGCTCGCTTTGTGCCAGAGTGTTGTCTCCCTGTAATTAACGCCGTCTGCCTCAGCAGGCAGAAAAGTTTAGAGCACTTCTTTCAGTTGATGTAATGCTTGAAATGAGGCACACAACACGTAACTTTTTTTACCCAGCTATTAGGCAGCTTTCTAAAATGATTTTATAATTATTTTTATATAGTCTTTTTATGCAATTCCCAAACATTTCCTGGGTGGGACGGCTGGATTTGGACTTTGAATCACAACCAGTAATAAAATCTGATTATTTTCTTGTAAACCAAGTCTACATGAGCATAAAGAGCAGGCAACCCGGTAAATGACCTCAGGCCAGATGTAACAGATAGCACTGAAGGCGCCAGCACTTATGAGACAATGAAACAGGTGTACACTGATGATTAAAGATACATGCTCTACTTTGAATGGAGCCTCATCGCATTTTATGGTCCAAGTGTGCATGTATGCAAAATATTGGAAGAGCAGACAATAGGAGACAGCGGGACAAAAGTGATAAAAAAGACATTTTAATCATACAGTACATCTGAGGCATGTGGCGACTTGAACACGAGAGCACACTGAGAATTAAACACTAGCTCCCACAAATACAAAACGTGTCAGGCAACGACTTCTAATCAGCTTGTAAAACGTGGCACATATTTGTTACGGTTGATGTGATCATATCTGACAACATATATTGATAATTACACTCAATATCACAATATAGATACTGTACGATTTCATGTCGGTGCAAATGGCTGCTGTATGAATATATTTAACACTTCAGTTTGCAAAATTTCATGGAGGTGTCTATGTGAACAGACCATTCATTTCCCATAATGGTATAGCTTTAACTGTAAAATCAAACACAATCTGGCACATGAAGACCTGGTGAGTAGAACAAGAAACATGTAAACAGAATATATTTAGTGGTGCTGTTTTATGAAACACATTGAGGCACTTGGTCAACAAACACATCACAAACCTTGTTGGATTGCAGATACATTGTACGTGTTATAACTTTTTTTGGGGACATTTGCTATTTGTTCTGGTTTGAGTTTTTATTAAAATATTAATTTATCATCAACATAAGCTTTCAGAAGAAGGATTAGTGTTTATTGCAATAGGAGGCACGCTGGTTTCAGTTTTTGGCACGTTAAACTCTGAAGCTGAATTGCACTTCACTTTCAACGTCCTGTTAAAACAGTAGAGTTTCTTTGGAGAGGCGGAGGATGCCCGCGCTCTTTTGGAGTTCCGCTTGCACTTTTTGACACTTTCCTCCCGTGTGACGGGAACGCTTTCGAGCTTCTCCTGGTTGCCAGGGATTTTACAACAAGCATCCTTTTGCATTGTTGTATCTGTGGTTGTGATGGGCACATGGTTATCACCACAACAATGGTCATTGTCCTTTGCATTCTGTCTTTCATTCCTGGTTGTGTGTGGTGAGCCCGGTGAGGGGGACTGGCATCGAGTCTGAGGTTGTGATGGGGCTGGGGTGCTGATATTTTGGCTACTGTCAGGGCTTGAGGGTCTCATTTCATGTCTTTGATCGTCCTCTTCCCCCACAGGCTGTGAGCCAGTGACTGAACCCGGAGCTGGGCCTGTGTCCTGGTTCAAAGCTGTGGTAGTAGATCTCTGCTCTCTGGCTGAACCAGCCTGCAGGCTTGCATTGTTGACACAGTACCTTCTGAGATGGCAGCTGTGGGCCAGTCCTTGCCTGGGGGCCACAACTCTTCCCTGGGAGCAGTGGTGGTAATGGGCCGGGGGGCAGTGGACATAGTGCATACGGCACTCCCTGTGTGTGTAGACTGGGTCCAGGTTGGTAGGTAACAGGGCGGCATTTTGCTTGCTCGGGGTGTTTCCTGAGAGGGGGTAGAGCTGAGGGGTCGGCGGGCAGGAAGGAGAGTCCTGGGGAGGCTGAGCGCAGGTGTGGTGGGTCCACTGCTGAGGCAGGTGAGGAGGAGGAGGGTCCCCACATGTGCAGTTGGTGTTTTGAGAGTATTGGCACCTGGATGGGGTGCTCAGTGTGGCTACAAGCCCATTCTCAGGGCCACTTCTGCCAGTGTCACTTTTGCTCTTATAATGGATGTGTGAATAAGGGGCGGAGAGGTGGTGAGGAGGGATTCCATTATAAAGCGGAGCACACACCTCCTGCTCCTCTCTGGGTTTATCTTCAGCTTTCTGACTGGATGCCAACGGCTCTAACTCATAATGCTCCACCTCCCCAGTCCTGCTGTCCAGCTGGTACTTCCCCAGGCCAGAGCCTTTCCCTTGAGTTGAGGGACTCATGGATGTGACCTCAGAGAACACCTGGCACTGCAGCTTTTTGGGCAGAGGGATCTGACCACAAGTCCCCTGGGGTCCTAGGCAGCGACACATG